CCTGTACAGCACATGGACTCCAATCTCATCCAGTGATTCGGTCTTGGCTTCAAGGTGACCGACATGCTGCTGTTGTGCTTTGGGCTACAATTTCTGGTTGAAGGCTTCTTAATTTCCGACCTATAATTTCTGAACTCGCTTTTTTGTCCGTTGTTTATTCGTTCGATCTCCGATTTGCGTTCTGGTTTTTCCGATGGCTTCCTACCGATCCAAGGAATTTATCTAGATACTCTTGTCATCAGTTGACTTGGGTATTTTAGATTGGAGAACTCACTTTTTTCTCAATAGGAGTTGAGTATCCTATTTTCTGTTCCTCGATTTGGTGCGAGTGATTCGCGGTTCGTTTGCTTTGTGGTGTCTCGCTGTGTTCCTAGAAAACATCCACCCACTCCTTTGGGTCGTGGACATCACGGTATTTGGTTTATTTTGGGACAGTGGCCAAAAGAATTTCGAGAAATTTTACGGCTTCCATTTATCCCCCTCTAGTTGTCGTTTTTGGTCCTTCAATATGATAAAATTCTAGTAGGTAAAATATCTACAATCGCACATATGTCAAATAATTTAGCTATATCTTTACCATGCACTCTTTATCGTAGAAAATGAGTGCCACCCATATTGTTTATATGTGAACATATATCTGCATTGTTGGTCTAAACCTGTAAAAACAAACATAGCATAAAATGACTGCAACTAACAATGAGTATTGTGGTCAAAATAGATTTTATAGAGGTGGTTTTCGCAACCCTTGCTACCCAAATAAACATATCTAAAAATCAAGCATTATTAGCAACGGAAAGTATATACCTATGCCTAGAAATTGATTTTTAGGACAAGTTGGTAAGGGCACCTCAAACAATGATAAATCTGTTGGCTCATAGAAATCCACCATGTCATTTTGCCTAAAAGAGAAGAAAAGTGAAAAGCGTCTTTTCATCGAACGCTAGACTCAAATGTATCACGAGGCCGCCCAACCATCTCACCCCTTCTGTCTAATTCTCACTACGGCCTAGTTTGGAAACTCAAATCATTTTAGAGTTCGAACTTTTTTTAGGGTGAGCAATCGATCAAAGTGTCATTTTAATAAGTCATTTAGGCCCTGCTCAACACAGCTTTGCGAACAGCTTCATAAGCTATTGTGAGGTGTTTTATTTTTGCTAAACACTCTTTTTGCAAACACCTTCATAAATAAAGCTTGTTAAATCATGCTCTTCCTAAAGAATGGGATGGGGTGGAGCTAAAAATAGTAGTTTTTCATAGCTTCGCACAGGTGGGTCTTATGTGGGACTCTGTGAGAGTATAATTTAAGAAAATATATGTGTAGAGCTGTTTTTCAAACGGTTTACCAAAACAGCTTTAGTTTCACCGAGAAAACTGCTCGCGAAGCTAACCCTAAAAAACTTCACAAGTAAAGCTAAGTCGTGTAAGCCTGGTCAAGTTGTGAGGTAAGCGACAGTGCAAGCCGGGACTGTTTCTTTCCTCTGCCTCTACCCCTAAAGCATAAATCAGGCAATAATGCTGGAATGATTTAGCCGAGGTGGCGTCGGCTCACTCTTTGAATTGTTATATGGTCTCAAATAGGCCCACGATAGATAGAGCAACAAATATGACAAAAAAACAAGTAATTAGGCCACTTCGGTGGTGCGGCATAGGAGTACAGGACCAGCAGAGCAGAGGTCGCCGTCTGGATGGCCATGGCGAAGCCGACCGTCGTAATCCTGCCGGTCTGGGCATCCGGCCATTTCATGGCTGCGCTCGAGGCCGGCAAGTGCCTCATTGCCACCCTCGGCACCTCCGACTTCTCCCTCACCATCTTGGTCATGCGGCCCCCGACGCCTGAGTCCACGTCCCAGGTCACCGCGCACGTTGCGCGAGGGGCGGCCGCTGCCGAGCCCATGGGCTGCGAGGTGAGCTTCCATCACCTCCCCGTGGTAGACCCGCCCACAAGGTGCACCAGCGTGGAATATTTCACCTCGCAGTACATCCACCTCCACGCGCCGCACGTCAGGGCCGCCATGGCCGCGCTGGTGGAGCCCGCCGCGGCGCTCGTCGTCGAGTTCACGTCGACGACCATGTTCGACGTCGCCCGCGAGCTCGGCGTACTGGCGTACGTCTACTTCGCGTTGTCTGGCGCTATGCTCGCCCTCATGCTGCAGCTGCCGGCGCTCCACGACGTGATGCCCGAGGAGTTCGGGCGTTCGGTGAGATGGAGGAAGGCTAGCACGTGCACATCCAAGGCTTGTGTCAGGACCATTAGCACCAGGGCTTGCAGAAGGAAGGCGGCAAGAGGAAGAAGGGCCGACGCTACTGTTGGGCGTCCAACAACGGAGAAGCCGTCAATTAACCGTTAAGCTAGGGTAGCGGCTTAGGCGTTTAGGTGGAGTCGGTTTGTAACGGCACCGTGTGAGTAACGGCTGGGCGTGGTATATAAACGCCTTGTAACTGATTCAGTGGTCATCCAACATAACCTGAACCTCTTTCCTAAACTAGATAGCGTGCCCGTGTGTTGCTACGGGACAACAAAACTTTTGTACTAAAAACACGGATCGCATGATAATATAACAATACTGTGAAATTAAACACCCGTGCTAATGCTACGGCAACCTTCAATAGTACAAATCAAACATTCAAAAGAAAATATATGCATCGGTAACAAAGCATAGATGTGGTATGTTTAAGATTCTGCCAAAATCTTCTCTACAGCTAGCAAGCATGAGATGACCGATATACCATCTGCAACTTAAACACATCAATAGCAATATTTCTTCTGGTTCCTACCAGTGAATATATGAGCTATTATTTCTCATCCCAACTCTTATCATTTGCTCAGGACCAACTAGAACAAAATTTAATATCTAAGAAATCAAGCAAGGACGGGAAGAACATACCACATTGATCAGTTGCTGGGTGGAAATAAAACAAACTGATGTGCACCTATGTTATATCCGAAATCAGAATTGTTCATTGCTGAAATAGGTGGAAATGAAGCAACTGCTCCTCACTACAATATCCAGTTTAAACTGTTATGTACCTTCCTCAAACATGTGCTTGCCGATCAAAATCGGCCCAGCCCCTCCCCTCCCCTGCAACAAAAATTACAAAATAGCACAACTCATAATTGTTAGAAACGATAGGCAATATAAACGACGAAGAACAGTAGATCAAGCACAAGAGACAGGAGATTTTAACGTGCAAAACCCTCCCAATGTGGAAGGAAAAAAACCACGGGCACCAGCCAGCAAATCTTCATTATATCGGGTGAAGTTACAAACGTCGGGGATTTACAACTTTTCTTATTCCAAGGCGATGACTTACATGAAGTATATATAGGGAGAAAAAATCCCACACCCTCGTCTATTAGTAATACGGAACTAATAGATGGTGTAGTCCCTCTTAACGCTAATGGGCCGCTTCGCTTCGGCCCAAGCTTGAATTTGGATCATAGCTCAACAAACTCCATCTTGAGACCAATTCCTTCTTATAGCATAAAATGAACCTTCACCCTGAAACAACAAAGAAATACTTCTAGTGCCAAATAGCCTCTTGGGCTAAACAGTTATACCAACTAAGCTTGAGCAAAGCTCAAACTTAGCAACATGAACTGGCTTTGTCAACATATCAGCAGGATTATCATGTGTGCTTATCTTGCATACTTTCAGCTTACCTTTCGCGACCACATCGTGAACATAATGGTATTTGACATCAATGTGCTTCGTTCTCTAATGGAACATCTGATCTTTAGTGAGACATATAGCACTTTGACTGTCACAAAATAAATTAATGCAAGAATTATCTCCACAAAGCTCAGCAAATAAACCTTTCAACCAAACTGATTCTTTACATGCTTCAGCAATAGCCATGTATTCTGCTTCAGTGGTAGACAGGGCAACAACGGGCTGCAATGTTGCCCTCCAACTCATAGCACAATCACCAATAGTGAACACATAACCTATGAGAAATCTCCTCATATTCAAATCAGCAGCAAAATCTGAATCCACGTAGCCAGTTAGTCCCTTATCAGTTCTGCCAAACTTCAAACAAGCATTTGTTGTGCAACGAAGGTACCTAAAAATTCACTGAACAACCTTCCAATGTTCTCTATCAGGATTAGCCATGTATCTACTAACCAAATTCATAGCATATGATAAATCAGGACGAGAGCAAACCATGGCATACATCAAAGAACCAACAACACTAAAATATGGAACTCTTGACATGTACTCAAAATCCTCATCTGTACCAGCACATTGTAAAACTGATAATTTGAAATGAGGAGTAATAGGAATACTAACAGACTTTGCATCATGCATGTTGAAACGATGAAGAACTTTTTTAATGTAACTTTGCTGACTAAGAAATAACAAAGCAGAATTTCTGTCTCTTGTAATTTCCATACCTAGAATTTTCTTAGCAGCATCAAGATCCTTCATCTCAAACTCACTACTCAACAGTTTCTTCAACATAGTGATTTCTTTCTTGCTCTTGGCAGCAATCAACATATCATCAACATATAACAACAAATATATTGATGATCCATCAACAAATTTAATGTACACACAACTATCAAATTCAGACCTCTTAAAACCATGTGACATCATAAAAGAATCAAACTTTTTATACCATTGACGAGGAGACTGTTTCAAACCATATAAGGACCTCTTGAATTTGTAAATATGATCCTCCTTATCAGGTACTATGAACCCTTCTGGCTAGTCCATGTATATCTCCTCCAAGAGCTCTACATGTAGAAACGCAGTCTTTACATCTAACTGCTCAAGCTCAAGATCTCACATAGCAACAATACCGAAAAATGTACGAATTGAACTATAATTTACAACTAGAGAGAACACATCATTATAATCAACGCCAGGAATCTGACTAAAACCTTTTGCTACTAACCTTGCCTTAAATCTTGGAGGCTCACTAGGAGACAAACCCTCCTTTCTTTTGAAGATCTATTTGCAACGAACGGCCTTCTTGTGTTTAGGCAAGCGCACAATATCTCATGTGTCATTTTTCTTAAGTGACTGCATCTCTTCTTGCATAGCGGAAATCCACTTCTCGCGGTCACCAGAAACAACAGCTTCAGTGTACGTAGCCGGCTCATGAATGTTCTCAACCTGTTCAGCACAACTAAAGGCATAATGAATAATATCACATTCCTCAATTAAACGTGGACGAGGTCCACAACTCCTCTTTATTCTGTGATCTGCAATAGATTGATTTTGAGGCTGTAAAACAGGAGGTGAGTGCTGAACAATATCATAAACATTGTTATTAACAATTTCAGTTTCCTGATCATCTATGCAAAACAGGAAGAGGAGCAATTTTGTGGAGGCAGGGGAGGTGGCGCGGGCCGTGAGGTGCCTCGTGAGCGGCGGCGACGAGGAAGGGGAGGGCAGGCGGGCGAGGGAGCGGGCCTCGGAAATGAGGGACGCGTGCCGGAGTGCGGTGGCGCGAGGTGGGTCATCGTTCGCTTCGTTGCACGGCGCTGCCGCGGTCGTGCGGCATCGGTTGGAGGCACGTGTGGACGCGCAGACGGCGCAGTTAACGGGAACAACAACATCCCCTCCTTCCCTCACTCCAGCTTTTGAATTTTGATGTAGTAGTACCCGCTCAGTTGAGCACACAGGACGTTACAGTGCCGTCGGTTGATATAATAGCTAGGTCTCACCGTCTGTCTATATAGGCATGAAATCAGATCAGATATGAACGTATATTATGGATACCTAATACAAATAATTGTTTCTTTTCGGTAAATCTACTTGCCACTTGAGTGTTTCTCGATCTGCACGTGCTCGATTTCCTGCGCATCAGATGCGCCACCGACGCTCGCGTCTGCGCAAAAAAGATTCCAGCGACGCAGCCTAAAAAGCAGGTACAATAATATATCTCAGCTTGTGTTATAGCCGAGCCATATCAGCAAATGCTTAGGTGGATTGGGGAGAAAACCGAAGAGCCGAGCTGCTTGTCGCAAGATCTGGCGCCGAGCGCTAGCTCTGTTCCCGAGTTTTGCGGGTCCCACCACAACTACCGTGACCCGTCCTCAAGAATGAATGACAGCCGCTCGCCGGTCGTCGTTGTCCAGGACACGCTCGTCGCTCGCCCACCACTGGCCAGCTTCGCGCCGCCGTCGGCCGCCCACAGCCACAGGGTCGGCTTTGCGCCGCCGGCACGCCGCCGCTTGCAGGTTCTGCGCGCCGGCTTCCTCCATCTGCGCGACTCGCTGTGCCTCTGGCGGCTGCTGACTGCTGCTCCGGCCGCCGACGCCTCGGCGACCGTGTGCGAGCCAAGACAGGCATAGCAAGGTGAAGGGGCCAGGGCATACGAGCTCGTGACCATGGCTGCCAGCGAGCTCGGTACCTGAGAGCGAGCCAGCGATGTGCTTGTCGGTTCCTGGGCAAGTGAGCGGTGGCCTCCAGCCAATGGTGAGCTTGCTCGGCGTGTTCATCCAGCAGGAACAGAAGCCAAGAAGAGAGAGGATAAGGTTGAACATGTAAATAAAAAATAGTGACGTGTAGGGCCCACTTAATAAAAGAAGGAATATTTTAACTGGAGGAGGAGACAAATTGTTGTATCATTTGTCTGCAAAGGTTGTCAAACGAAGCTAAGCTTATTGAACCAGTTCTAAGGCTCACGCACATCTCTCTCCAGTGTTGGAGCCCGCCCACCTCGCCCCATATGCCGCGTTGCGTAGAAACAGCAGCGCGCCCCCCTGCATGCACATTCTTCCATCTAGTAAAGGTATATTATATTTTATTGGATTATATTTTACTATTTTTGTTTGGTGTAAGCTCTATGTTCGATTGGTGTAAAATGAATATTCATAAATTAGAATTTTCAGAATTACTAGAACAATTATCTGATTTTTTTATTGGTTTTTTTATTTTCTGTATGTTTTATTTGGTTCCTCCTTTAAAATTTTCCAATTTGGCTCCATAGCAACAATCTGGCTGATTTTTTTTGTTTAATGTTTTTGTATTATTTGGATATCTTTTGGTTAATTTGATCTACATCCAACGGTCATAACAATCGAGTGTTGCATGGATAAAAAACACTCGATTTTTGTTTGCGTTCTCAATTGGGTGTTTAGGGCCATCCGACACACGAGTGAAACACCCGAGCAGTGAGTAGACAGGCTCTTTCTTTTAGGAAGACTGATTTTAGAAAGTATTAGTCCTGTTTTCATCCCTAGGTTCGTATATGGTACTATATAGCCTTTTGTTTTCTGGTAGGGTGCCAAGTGCATGCGGTGAATAATTGGGATTTGCTTGCCAACATAATTTTATATATAGCCTGGCTCGCATCATAGATTCAGGCCCCGACCAGCCAGGCTGGGAGCCTGGGACGGTGCAACCATGCAGTGTTTTGGTTGTCCACACTCCACAGGGATGTTTGTTTGCAAATAGTGGATGCAAGATACAAGAATTGATACATGCCCTAGTGTTTTGGTTGACTGCATAAAACAAAGTCTAGTTACCATGTTCTAGAAATGGTGAGCTTACCTCCACCAGCCCAATAGAGTACAGGCTACATTATAATACATTGCAAACACACTTAATTGGACTTCACCCAAAACTGACGGAAGTGATACTGTAGGGAAAAAAACTTAGTCGGTGGTGCTGAAGGAAAAGAATTTCTTTCGGTGGTCCAGAAGGAAGCGTTTTTATGGTTTATAGGGAATTTGCCTTTTTTTTAAAAAAAATACTTTGCTCTAGTGTTTGTGAGTTTACGGAGGAAACTTTTATTGGCCGATTAATAAAAGTGCTAGGATTAGTACTTAGTCTAGTTAGAAGCCACTTTTAACTCTAGCTCTGTTTTAGTCTTAATGTCAAGCGAGGTTTGCATACCTCCTTGCTATTAGTGCTCGCGTGCACCAAGAGTTGCACATGCGGATCTTATATTCTTACGAGATCGCAACAACCGCATTTGTGTTACGACTGCCGATGTTGTACAGGGACAAGAAGTCCTTGGTGGTTTGCCCAAACGCTTTCTTTTGTGTGCAGACGTCGGTTAGTGGTATGTGAGAGGGGTTAGCGGAGACCCACTTATGCATGGGGGAAGCCCATGAACTATCAAGAAGTTACTGTCGACGAAATCTGGTCGGCAGTCTACGGAGGGGTATGTCCACGGTAGTAGATGAATCGGTGGATGTGCGCGTGAGGAAACCGGATGGTGACATAGAACGCAAGAGACAACAATTAGACAGGTTCGGGCCGTTGGCTTGACGTAATACCCTACGTCCAGTCTCTTTGTGGATTGTATTGCGCGTGTTTAGATGAAAACGAGGAGGTTCCTACCCGCCTTATATAGCTTGGGGGTAGGGTTACAGATCGGTTATTTTCATTCTGATCGGTTTATAAGATAGGAAGTTACAGATCGTACAATATCTATCATATCCGAGCATATTTCGTAGATAACCGAGGATCTTCACGTTGCCTTGGGAAGCACGTCGTCCTGCGGCATACTTTACGTGGCGTTGTCTTGCGAGCTAGGCCTCGACCAGTGGCGCAACCCGTGTATAGTCTTGTGGGCTGGGCCTCCCCTAGCAGCTTGGCCCACGTGAAGCCTTGCGGGTACCGGGGGTCATACCCCCACAGCTAGTCCCCGAGCACCTTGCATCCACTGAGCAACACCCTCTTGCGTCCATCCGAGCTTTCCAACTTGCAGCAACTCATCAGGATCAGTCTTCCGACCAGTTCAAATAGGGGCTGAGCTGTTGAAGCAAGCGTCCGAGCAGTTCGAACGAGCGTCCGAGTTGTTGAAGTGGGTGTCCGAGCAGCTGAGACAGGCGTCCAACCAGTTTAACTAGGTGTTAAGATCGGACACACTCGAAGTCGTGGATTGCCATAAGGATGTAAGGAGCTCAAGTAAAAATTTTAAAGTCTTGGTCGGTGAGGTGTACACACTTAAGTGCCAATTGTGATGGTTCTGACGATGTGGTCATCAGGGCAGAGCAAAGGCGAAGACTTCATGAAGTCGAAACACCATGAAGAAGAAAAAGTACGTGCACCGCAAGGTGCATTATACACAATGTAGTCTCCGAGCCTGCTGGAAGATGATGAAGGAATCTTGTAGCAGTATCAAAGAAAAATATACAATCCCCATCATTGTCGAAAGATGGAGTAATCAGGGAATCAGTACATTCACCGCAAGGTGAAGTGTACACACTTAGTCCCCGAGCCTACTAGAAGATGATGAAGAAATCTTGTAGCAGGGTCAAGGAAAAATATCTTGGCACACATGCATAACAAATTCCGTTGACCCAGCACTGAGTCTGGAGATTCGTTTTGTCATTCCGCATTCAACACGATTTAACGCCGCGGCCCACCTTGCTCATTTGGTGGCCCATCGGCGTGCGATAGTTTTGAGAGGGAATTCGGCGGGTCAGGTGCGGTTTCCCAAAATCCCTAGAAGGCAAAGGGTCAGAGGTCAAACTGTTATAAAGTGCCACAGCCCCGGCGCACATTCTCCACCTTGTTCTCGCCTCTTCGTCTTCTTCCTTGCACCCGCACCACATCACCCGGCAACTGCTTCGCCATCTTAGCAACCGCAAGCTCGTAATCTCCCACCATTCCTCAGATCGGCGAGATGGCGCCCAAGAGAAGCCGTAGCAGCTCAAGTAGGGCATCGCGCGAGCTCAATCACACCGAGGAATGGGTGAGCTCCGTTAGCAACGAGGCGGCGCTCAACCAGTTGGTGGTGGACGGCGTGCTGCCGGATAGGGTGATGCTAGGATGGCATCCTGCTCGTGGTGAGAGCTTTCCTACCCACCGAGGCGATGAATTGGTCGTGTTTGAAGATTATTTCTATCACGGATTTGGCATTCCGATCCATCTGTTCCTTCGTGGATTGATTGAGTATTACGCCATTAGTCATTGCAATATGGGCCCGAACTCCATCCTTCACGTTTCTGTCTTCATCCATTTCTACGAAGCCTATCTTGGCATTGTCCCACATTTTGATCTCTTCCGTTACTTTTTCTGTTTGAAATCTCGTGGGGGATCTAGATCTAGGGTTGTGGGTAGCGCGTGAAGTGGACCGTGACGCCTAAGAGGGGGGTGAATTAGAAAACTTAAAATTCTACTTCTCTAAACTATGGTCTCTTTTTCTACACTTAGCAAAACCTATGCAAAAGATAAACTATCTCACTATGCAATTACGGTTTTGCTAGTGTGTTGCTATCTCTACCACAAAAGGAGTAATACAAACAATGTAAATGCGGGAGCTAAAGAGCAAGGTAGAGATATGCAAACTTCCGTCGACAACTCCGGTATTTTTACCGAGGTATCAAGAAGCGTGCAAGCTTTCCCCTAGTCCTCGTTGGAGCCCCTCACAAGAAATCCCTCGCAAGGGCCAAGCTCTCGGTCGGGTAACTCCGTGGATAGCTCCGGGCCTTCCCCACGTGCAAGTGGGTCTCCGGTTAAGCCACTCGTGGCAAAGTCTCTCCCAGACCGGTCCCCGCTGTCTTCACTATCAAGCTTCCGGCCGAAACACCGCGGGCCTTGTTCCCTCCGGTACACAGTGGTGGCCACACCGCAAACGCGGTTGGTGTGATCTCGCAAGACTACAAGCCCCTCCGATGTACAACAATGGTGCGCGCAAGTACCGAGTGGTAAGAGGTATACAAACCTCACTAAACACTAGGCTAAAACCTAGAACAAGCGCATAAGCGGTGGTCTAATCAACCTAAACACTTCGCAAAGCACCTATGCTAATCACCTAATGAATAACTAAGCACTATGCATGTGGAGATCACTAAAATAGTGTATCAACACCCTAAATATGTTTCCTCAGCTCCACTATAGTGAAATGGTCGGTTGGGGTCTATTTATAAGCCCCATGGACGAAATCCCGTTTTTTGCTACTGACCGGACGCTCAAGTCGTCCTGATCGGACACTGACGGCGTTCGGTCACATGCCACCGGACGCGTCCGGTCATAATTTTGCCGCTCTGGAACCTCTCTGTACTCGATCGGACGCTGTAGTTCCTGCGTCTGGTCGAGTAGCCGCCAGCGTCTGGTCAATGCTGAGCTGTTGCTGGGATGATGAACAGTACCATCGGTGCGTCCGGTCACTTTCAGTCTTCAACGTCCAGTCGCTGCTGCTGACGCCTTCTGTTGCCGAGCAATTGATCGGAGCGTCCGGTCGCTATAAGGACAGCGTCCGGTGCTACGTTCGGTCACCTCTGTGAGCTCATTTCTTTGCGATTTTGCGTCCAGCTTGGTTCATATCTTCGTGCTTGGACTTTGCTTAATATCTTGGGTCTTCTCTTGTGCTTCTAGGGTCTCGCTTAAAGTGTTGATCGTCGGATCATCACGTCGCCTTTGTCCAAGTCACGT